TCGTCCATGGGATTTGAACCCTAGACCTGCTACTTGGAGAGGGTGACGACTTGACCACTTCACTAAGCCGCCACACCCCCAATATCAGATATGTTCAATTTGCGCGTAAATAAATAATGATAATAAACAACGATCTTTCTTCATCTCTCTTCTTTCACAATTTCACTTTAAATATTGAAACCTGGAAACCTATATAAATATCTTGTAAGTGTTAAAAATATATTGAACTAGACAAATATAAAATCGATTAGTAAATTTAAGGAAAAAATAAAATAAATAAAAAAGTGATCTAAATAAATAAAAAAAAATTAAAAAAAAAATTAAAATTAAAAAAAATAAATAATAGTTTTATAAACTCATCTTTAATCTTAATATACTTTCAACAATAGTATAGTTTATATACGATTTTTATCTAATGCACAAGTATGCTTCTACTGTCACCTGGTCTATTTTCAAGTCATGATGAGCTTCTTTCATATGTTCAAACCTTTTTTATAAGACAAGAATATACGATAACTACGAAGAGATCAAGAACTGATAGAAATAGTAAAATTAAAAATATGTTATTGGGTTGTGACAGAAGTGGTTCCAACAGAGAAAGGTTAAATTATTTACGCCATAGAGCAACAGCCTCAAGACTTACGAATTGTCTATTTGAGCTCTTTGCAACCAGACATAGTAATATCTAGTATCTTGAAATTAAATGTTCTGATCATAACCACGGAGCGTCAGAGGATATGTTTGGTCACCTAATTGCCTGACAGTTAAATTCTGAACAACGAGATCAAGTTCGGAGAATGGCTAATGCTAGTGCCTGTCCTCGTCAAATTTTGTCAACTATTTATCAGAATGATCCTTCCTCAACAGCAATATCCTGAACAATTTATAATACTTTGTATTCTATTCGCCAAGAGAGGCTCAATGGCTGTACACCAATCCAAGCCCTCTTTGACGAATTGCAAGAATCTGACTTCGAATTTGAATATAAATGCAATCATCAAAATCATATAACACATCTTTTTTTCACTTACAAAATTTCTATTGCCTTAACCTGTACCTACCCTACTGTGTTATTAATAGACTGTACTTACAAGACAAACAGATACCGAATGCCTCTGCTGAATGTCGTTGGTGTATCTAGTTTTAACACAACGTTTTTTTCTTGTTTTGCTTTCTTAAGCGATGAAAAAGAAGTAGATTATGAATGGGCCATGATATGTGTTTCAAAAATCTTCAAAGAATTACCTCATCCCAATGTCATAGTTACTGATCGTGAATTGGCATTAATGAGAGCTATTAGTAAAGTCTTTCCTAACACCTAAAATATTCTATACACATAGCATATTAACAAAAACATTTTAGCCAAATGTAAATGTTATTTCGATACAAAGGAGCACTGGACCGAGTTCATGAAAATGTGGCAAGCAGTAGTAATGTCTGCTACTGAAGAAGAATTTATAGTTCAATGTAATGAATTTTTAAACTGCTATGAAAGCAAACCTAAAATTCTAAATTATATCCAAGCAACCTGGTTGCTACATAAGGAATGTTTTATTTTAGCTTGGGCCGATTGTTACTTACATCTCAGAAATAAGATTACTTCTTAAGTAGAAGCAGCACATGCTACTCTTAAAAAATGTTTATAGTCATCTGCAAGTAGGAATAGAAAATTTTTTTTAAAAACAGTGATGATTATAATCTAGATATATAAATATTTATCTTGACTTTACTTATCTCTTGTTTTAAATTGGCAAAAAAAAATAGGTTAATTTTTTTTTTTAATTTATCATCCCCATACGAAGGTGATCTAGAATCAGTGCATCGTAAAATAGTATTGTTAGTAGAATCTCAAGTAAAAGAAGTCCGTACAACTATTTCTTCTCAACATATGAAAGTATTATTTGTATACCAAATTCCTCTATTCGGACCTCTTTTACGCAATGTGCCTGTTTTTGCTTTGAATAAAATTCGAAATAAGTGGATAAAAGTGACAAGTGCAACTTTAGATTCTCCTCTCAACCCTTGTACCAGAAATTTTAAATCTACTATGGGACTCCTATGTTCACATGTAATTAGTGAACATTTAATGACTAGTCAACTATTATAGCAAGCTGATATCCATGAACATTGGTGGATTCAAGGCCATCGCTTAAAATTTCTAAAACCCACATATCCAACAAATAAAAGTAATACCGATCTTTAGTCTCTTCTGCAATCTCTTACACAACTGTATCGATTCTGGACACTACACCAACAAGCTACTGTTTATGCCCAGCTGGAAGAGCTAACATATATTCCTCTCACTGTAGTAGAAAATCTAGTTATTAATAGACCACGAGAAAAACCAGTTGGGGCAAAAAATCAAAAATCTGTACGACGAGATCCATCTGCATTTGAGATTGCTGAAAAAAGGCCAAGACAATGTAGTACATGCCATCAAATTGGTCATAATTGCCAAACATGTCCCAATAAATAAATTAGCAAATATATTATAGGCCTAGTGATGGTATTAAAATCAAATCAATTTCTATTTTTTAAAATAAACATTTAATAGATATGAACCTATATTTGGACTTATTAAAGGATTCAGGTCTATAACTTTGCAAAATTATTGAAAAGACTTGTTAATTAATTAGAATAAGACTGTAAATTTGCGAATTAATAGAAGCTCAATTAAACTTTCCTGTATAAGAGTTCAATATATAAGCTTTTTAATTTTGATAAATACTTAAAACAAATTGCTTATAGTCAGTCTTGATATAGCAACCTGCTCTATAATATGGGCTAGGTGCTGGAAAAAGGAACGAAATCGACAAAACAAAAGATCTTCAGAAAATCAATTTTTGTGATATAAATCTTATAATAGATTATAAGAAAATACAACCTTTAAAGAGCTATACTGCAAAATTTTATTAACACAATTACTTTTGTGTCTTAAGTGAAAAAAGATTATAATCTTATTCTAAATTAACTTATGTAAAAAAATTTAGTTTGAAAAAATTGTCATTTTCGTTCCTTTTTCCAGCACCTAGCCCATATATTCTGAATTTATATAAAATTTATAAATTTCGGATTGATATATATTAATATATAGTTTGGTATAAACTACACTTTAGGCTCTTAAAGAAAGTGATAACGATACTGTAAAAAAAATTTAGACTTCATAATTGCATATGTCATATTCAGTAAACATCTATTATACAAGTCACTATTATTCCTGTAAAAAAATTTTTCGAATGGCGATCATATGACATGGGTCAGAATTTGATCGGAAGCTGTTTCCAGCCACTTGGAGGGTGCCATTAACAAAAGTGGGGGTGGCATTAACAAGACTCTTATTTAAATATATATTGTTAGAATATTAGTAAAGTAATATATTTAATTAATAAAGTTTTATATTAAAAATCTACAATAAAAAAATAAAAATAAAATTATATACCAATAGCCAACTCTAAATATAATATAAGAATCAGAGATATAAACAAACAATCAATATAAAATACTAATATGCTAGAATTTTTATCAAGGACAAAAGGAATAAAAATTAAATAATTTAACTACTAGTCAAATATAAGAAGTTTGACTACCAAATGATATAGCCTATTTGACCTGAATTTGATAATCAAATAATTAACTAATTTTATCAAATTATTGAAACACTTCAACCTAAATCCAATAGTCAAATAATTAGCTAATTTTATATCGAATTATTGAAATAATTCAACTATTGAATTCAATTCAAATTATTTCAATTATTTGATATAAAATTAGCTAATTATTCAACTATCAAATTTAGATCAAAGTGATTCAATAATTCAATATAAAATTGGCTAATTATTTGACTATTGAATTCAGGTTGAATTGGCTATTTTATTTGGTGGTCGAATACTATATTAAATTTGACAAATAATTACAATTCAATATATATTTTAATATTTAATATAATAAGCTTTATTAATAACAAATTTAACCCAACCTATCCAATACTAATTTAAATTCTAATCTAACTAAATCTAAATCTAAATTTTAGTTTCTCCAAATCTAATCCAAGCCCAACTTTAAAAGTATTTGACCAAACACAAGACCTTTGGACATCATCAAAAATTAGCTACTATTGATAATATATAATATTAGACATTATTTTAGTAATAGATTAAAGTTAAAAAGAATAAACACAAGGCCTTCAAATACTTATATTGAAGAAATATATATTGATAATGATAATTTTGATTTTTCTTTTAGATGATTAGAAAAGGCCAAAGATGCCAAAAGTTATTTGATTATAATAGTGTAGCAAAATAATTATAGATGAAATCTTTGCTGAATATAATAAGTTATATAACAAATAATTTAAGTAAATGTTTAGTAAATTATATAAAAATAATTTGAGTAAAGATTTAATAAATAACTTGACCCTGGACCGTCAATTCAATAATTACCCCGCTTTAGCGATCCTCAAAAAAGGAAATTTTTGTTTGTAAATCGTAAAATCAGGTGTAACATAAAATTTGGTAGTTTTTTTTGATTTTTTTCAAAAAATCGCTAATAACTCAAAAATTTTGTCTAAAAAACCGCCTCTTGTGTTCTAACAAAAAAAATTCCTTGCAAAATTTTAGTACAGTCTCTATTCTTCCTAACTCTACAATTAAAGCAAATTTACAGTAAATAAAATATTTATAATTGCATGTGATTTGTATCACAGTGAGAAATAAAGTAAATCCCGTTTGGAAACACAGATCGGAGCGTTTTTTAATATATACTCCATATATTTGATCAGATGAGTGCCAACAAGCGAAAACAGGGAATTGTGAGTTTTCCGAAATTAATTTTACAGATCGAACCCCGAAAAATGTGATTTAACACACTATATAATTATGTTGTACTTTTATCAGGAATCGGATCAGAAAGCGGAGCCGGCAAAAATCGAAATTGATGGTTTTCGCTTGGCAGCACTCAGATATATTAACGGCATAAAAGATAATAAACAAAGAAAAAAGTTTTTTTCATTCAAACCCTTATATTACAAAAAGTGAATCCTCATTCATAAGTTACGGATTATTGTTCAATTCGCAGAAATTTATCTAACCGCAGAAAAATTTGAAACAAAGTCAAATGAAAAACGGGATTTTGAGCTATTCTGGCATTGATCGGCAGAAGAGATTCCGAACAATGAACTTTCTATATTATTATCAACGTTTCAACGTTGTTGACACTCTACTATTTGGCTATTCCGGTCACTAATTAATTTTGCTGACGTTTTGCCTT